GGGAAAGGGTGGGTGRTCAATGAGATAGCCTCAGTGAGTAGCAATGTGGGAAAGTGACTTTGTGGTACGCTATGCCAACTCTCATGGGAATGCCACCCTGAATCATCTCTGGTCATCCCACAAGGCCATCTCAGACTAACTAAGGCCCCAACTGTGAGGCAGACACTGGTGAGCTAGAGTATGTTCAGAGCTAGAGTGAAGGGCTGGGGTTTTGGGTTATATGAGGAAATAGAAGATTGTTAAATCTGCTGAGAAGACTTCAAGGCAATTTGAGAGCTGTCTTCACATATCACACATAAGCATTGCTAAGGGAAGAGGGGAGACTTTCTGAGAGGCTGCAGTTGTGGGGAGGAGAGGCTAGACTTCAGTTGGAGTGGGAAAGAACTTATTACCATTCAGAGCTGTTTCACCATGGCACAGGTCAGTTAGCAGAGTAGAGAGCTCTTGGTCCATGCAAGTTTTCAGACTGTTGCTCAGTGGCTTGGTAGAGAAGGTTGGGTGGTATGGGGAGGTTAGACTATATTGGGATTTTTTTCAGTCTTTCGTGGAAATTGTTTCTTCAAATGACAGTTCATAAGAAACTCAGAAAATAAAACACTAATTCTCTGGTTGAGCTGTTGGTTAAGGACCACACTCTCAGGGTCCCACCTCTCAGGAACTTTTGGAATTTCCTGAAGCAGTTTGAAAACCAGTAACTGGACAGTCTATAAGTTCCCTTTTAATGTTGAGTCTTGGTAAGCCAAGACAAGAACTTAAATATGCCAGACTGCTATTTTAAAATAACTATCTTGCTCAAAAAGTTCAATCTTTCAGTCTTTTTGCTTACAAACTCTGAACCTGACTGCTTCCTCTGATAGCCCTTTGTCTTTGTTTTCCATATGTAGCCTCTATAGTAAGAGCAAGAAAAATGGCCACTGACTGGGACTGAAACATAATCACAATGTATTTTGCAGGGTTGGATCTTATTGTGCAAGGGATGCTTGTATACTCAGGTGACTTGAGTTTTGGAACTCAAGAGGAATTCATTCAGGATCCACAGGATATCTTATCTCTGTATGCAAGATTTCATGCTGAAAACTGGGAATATAATGTCCAGTAAGAAACAACCCTTATCTCCTAGGGGTGACCAGTGTAGTGGGGAAGACAGCCTTGTAAAGGCTCAGCACAAAATCCTGTGGAAGTACAGAGAGCATGTTAGTCAAGTCAGGGTAGTGTAGGGGGAGTAGGGCTTGGGGACAGATTCTGACAGAGATGCTTTAGTGGAACATTGGAAGACAATTAAGAATTAACTTGAGGGCTAGGGCTGTGGTTCAGTGGTGGAGCACTTGCCTAGCATGTGTGAGGCACTGGGTTTGATTTTCAGCACCACATATAAATAAATGAATAAAATGAAGGCCCATCAACAACTAAAAAAAAGAAATTAAAAGAATTAACTTGGGGCTGGGGTTGTGGCTCAATGTACAGAGGTTGCCTAGCATGTGCGAGGACCTGGGTTTGATCCTTAGCACCACATACAAATAAATAAAATAAAGGTATTGGGTCCAACTATAACTAAAAAATAAATTTTTTTAAAAAAGAATTAACTTGATGAGAGGGGAATGAGCATTTGAAGCAGGCAACAATATTTTAAAAAAATTAGAATGGAGGTAGAAAAAAATACAGTGTGATCAGGGAACTGCCAGTCATCTAGAGTGGCTGAAGCTAAAGAGTGGCTGGGGCCCCAGAAAGAGATGAGCTTGGAGAAGTCATCAGGAAGCAGATCCAGAAGCTCTTGTGAGCTGATCCAAAGGGCCTTTGTCCTGAATGCTCTGGAGAGCCTGGGAGGACTCAAGTGCTTTTTTAAAAAAATTTTTGGAACCAATTTTTCCTTATGGACATTTCAGTTCCTGAGACCTGAAGGGCTCAGAAGTAGTCCTGTTCAAATGGACATGAGATATGAGCCTGCTCAGTGGACATTACAAATGGTACCTTTAGGCTCAGAGCATGGGCAATCATTTCTATTCTGAGCTTGGTTCCTGATGCAGGCAGAAACCTTCAAGTCCTCTCTTCCCTTTCTGTGTCCACAGTCTCTTCTTCAGCAGAACAGGGATAAAAATGGTGCCACTAAGCTGCTACAGAAGAAGAAATGATAAGTCCAAAGTGCTCCATGAGCATAAAACGCAGAACACCAGAAAAGACCTCCCTAGTTAGAACATGATATCTTTCCAAGTAAAGTCTGGAGGAATCAGAAAAAATATATTGCATGGACTTTGCTCTTTCATTATCAGCAGAAAAATTGGCAGAGATTCTCAGGACTGGTTCCACTGCCACCTATGTCTTCTTAAATCTTGAGTTTGCTACTGGAGCAGGGGTTAGAGGTACCTGGGAGGTCTCCCTCTTCTGAGCTGGAGCTTGAGAAGGGCAAGAGGGTAGGAGGAGAGTGGCAGTATATATCACCATCCAGCAGGTTCCTACCAACCTCATAGGTTAGTAGTAGGATTGAGAAAATCCAGGTAAAGAGCTTAGCACATGATAAGTCCCCCCAAAATGTTATTGTTATTGTTAACCTGTATATATTTTGAGACCAGCTCTGAGCTCACAGAGCCTTCCATCTCTTGCATAAAACACCTATCATTTGAGACTTTATTCCCTGTTAAGCTATAAGAACTTCCTGGGCAGGCAAGCTCTGTATCCTCTACAGTACCCAGTAGGGCTCTGTAATCCTCCTTGACTGTCTTCTGTGATAGCAGTGGTCAGTTTGCCTTGTATCACAATTACTCACACCAGTGTCTTGCCTGAACTGTGGGCGGGACTCCTCAAGGCAGGGACAAACCTTTAAAACAAGCATGCTTTACCTAACCCTGCTCCAAAGCCTTAGTACCTGCCGTTCTTTTTACCTGGCACTCTCTCCTGATCATTAAGTTACTGCCTCCACCCACAGTCTTTCACATTATTTTATTTTCATTAGCACTGCCAGTATTTGAAATAATCTTATTGGTTTACTTGTCTTTTCCACAAGAAAATAAGCTACACGAGAACAGCAGCCTTATTTATCCTGTTCATTTCTATATTCTCCAGTTTTCTAAATGTGCTTAGCATAAAATAGGTGCTCAATAAATACGAATAACTGCCCAATCAATGTTATRTAAAATGACTGGACCACATGCCCATCAGAGCACTAATCTCCAGGATATATAAAGAACTCAAAAAACTTAACAAAAAAACAAACCCAATCAATCAATGGGCTAAGGAACTGAACAGACACTTCTCAGAAGAAAATATATAATCAATCAACAAATATATGAAAAAAGTTCAATAGCTCTAATAATTAGTAAAATGCAAATCAAAACTACTCTAAGATTTTATCTCATGCCAGTCAGAATGGCAGTTATCAAGAATACAAACAACAATAAGTGTTGGCGAGGATGTGGGGGAAAAAGGTATTCTTATACATTGCTGGTGGGACTGCAAATTGATGCAACCACTATAGAAAGCAGTATGGAGATTCTTTGGAAAACTTGGAATGGAACCACCATTTGACCCAACTATCCCACTCCTCAGTCTATACCTAAAGGACTTAAAAATCAGCATACTATAGTAACACAGCCACATCAATGTTTAGATAAGCTCAATTCACAATAGCTAAACTATGGAAGCAACCGAGATGCCCTTCAAAAGATAAATGGATAAAGAAACTGTATATATACACAATGGAATATTACTCAGCCTTAAAAGAGAATATAATTATGGCATTTGCAGGTAAATGAATGGAGCTGGAGAATATCATGCCAAGCAAAGTAAGCCAATCCCAAAAAAACAAAGGCCAAATATTCTGATAGTGGATGCTGATCCATAATTGGGGGGGGGGCATGGGAAAAATGGAGGAACTTTGATTGGGCAAAGGGGAGGAGGGGAGGGGTGCAAGAAAGATGGTGGAATGTGAATGTGATGAACATTATTACCCTAGGTACATGTATGATGGCACATATTGTGTACAGAGAAATGAAAAGTGTGCTGCAATTATGTACAATGAAACAAAATGCATTCTGTTGTCATATATACCTAATTAAAATAAATAAATAAATTTATTTTAAAAATGACTGGAGGAGTGGGCATTAATACATCTTCTTCCAGACTGAACCAAAGGTCAACATTGTGGAGAATGCAAAAAAATCAACATATGGATCCAACTTCTAAACTGGAGAACAAGCAAGTACCAATTAGTCTGAGAAATAGGCAAACAATCCTACAAATAACCTAGTTTGAGATAGGCAAACTATGACCAGGTGCTAGATGTGTGGCATAGAATCAGAGGCAAGAGAGAAACAGATGGCTGAAAAAGAGCTTGAGAACAGGGATCACACCTTCCTCATCCTCCTGTGTTTAGCACTTAGCACAATAGCTGTGGAAGAGTTGCTCTGTGAATAACTGTTAAACTGTATTGAGTAGACAGCCCACCAAGGTGATGCTGGGGGACTAGGTAAGATACAAACTTGGTGGTGTATAACTTGGTATCTTGGTTTACAAATATTTCTACTCAACAAATTCTCAATCTTTGTGTGTTAAAGAGATTATCTTGGAATGAGGGATGTGGTTCAGTGGTAGAGAGCTTGCCTACTATGAACAAGGCCCTAGGTTTCTACCCTAGCACCACAAAAATAAAGAAATAAAAGAGAGAGATTGATTTTCTCTTAAATCCACAGTCTCTAATTAGACACACACACACAAACACACCAACAAAATAACGTTTTGGCTAAAATCTATGTCATTTATTTAGTCAAAAGACAACTGATTATCTTCTATRGTCCAGGTCATGTTCTTGGTGCTGGAAACAGAGATAAATCCTGACCCTCAAGGAGCTTACAGTGTAGTGGGGAAAAGACACAAGAATAAATAAATATAATATAACTAGAACATGCAAAGGGGACCACTATGGAAGACAAAGAGCAGAACAACTTAAATCCTATGGTCAATGTCTATAGAAAAGACAAGACTCAGCTAATGGATATTTTTGTAAAAAATAAATAATGGTTGTCAAATGTGGCTCAGTAATTACTTACATTAGAAGTATCTGGAATATATTATTAAAATGCAGATTACCAGCACCCAACATTCTGATTAAGTAGGTCAGGGGCCTGGGTATCTGTATTTTAAAATACTCTGAGCGAATCCACTTGAGAACCAGTGACATAGGGTTTGTCCTTTAATTGGAATGAGGAATGATCTGTACATATGAAATACTAAGCCGTGTTAGTCTTTAATGAGGAGCAGGGGAAAGGAGGAAGGGGTTGCCATTTATCAAGTTTTATTACAGTCTATATAAGGTAACAATTCTTAGAATAATCCTATGAGGTAGGTATAATAATCCCTATTTTGCAGATGAAAAAATAAGAATTACAGAATTTAATTTATTCAACATTATAAAGTAAAGAGAAAAGCAAACATTTGAACATTTGAACCCAGATTCTCTTAAAGTCTGCCAATTTTCTATAACACCATACTGACACTGGGGACAAATTAATTGATTAAATGTTACAATTTTCTTTTAGTTCTTTGTTAGATCTCTCTAGGTAAATAAATATAAAGAACAGCCAGATGGTACTTTATTCACACTCAATACAATTTATCCATGGATACATCCTTCTTTGGCAAGTTGGGATTGAGGGCAAAGATGAGGRGAACCATTAAACAAATGGCCATTTCTTCTTTTTTCATCATCTTCTCACCTCTAGTGGAGGTGTTATGAAAAATGCACTATAGCACTGGGTATGGTGTTGCACGCCTGTAATCCAAGTGATTTGGGAAGCTGAGGAAGGAGAATTGCAAGTTTGAGGCCAGCCTGGGTACTCAGTGAGATGCTGTCCAAAAAAAAAAAAAAAGTGTGTATATCAGGGAGCTGGGGATGTAGCTCAGTGATATAGTGCCTGGTACTGGGGGGTGGGGGGAATGGGGTAAGGAAGAATATGTACTAACTGGGTCTGTCTAAAGGGAAAGGCAAACAACCACTTACCTATGAATGATATCCCACCTGACTTCAAAGATTCTTGGGATACAAAGTATTCAGAATGGCAGGGCTGATACCAGACAAGTTTCTCAAAAGATGAATTGTCAGGACCAAGGGTTAGTCCAGAGTTTGCAAACAGCTCAACATTTTTGTTTTCTGTTATGGTACTGCGCTTGAACCMAGAGCCTTACACAAGCTGGGCAAGTACTCTACCACTGAGATACATCCCTAGCCCTTTTTATATTTTACATTGAGTCAGGGTCTTACTAAATTGCTCAAGATTAACTCAATATTACCATCCTCCTGCCTCAGCCTCCTGAGTAGCTGGGATTACAGGTGTCTGCTGGAAATGGCTCAATATTTAGAGAAAATGTAGAAAGGTTAGCAACTCCTCTAAGTTAAAATAAACACTCTCTACACACTGACTTAGAAGCACAACAAAATACTCAGCTAGAATAAATAATGGGAAAACCAATCCTTTTTAAAAAGCTTCTGGACAGGTCCAATAAGTCTTCCATAATGAAAAACACACACACATATGCAAGCACACAGCTTAAATGTCTACTCACCATAATTCGGTGTCACCCAGATCTTCCAAAGGGGTAGCAGACAATTGGAGCACATTAGATAAAGAAAAGGGAAGGCATGGTACAGGTGATTAACAATAATACAGCAGGTGCCAGGCACTTTGAGCTCAGAAGGATGGAGTGTAACCACCATTCTCTTCTCATTGAGCTTAGAGCCGTAACAGTGATACTACAAATCACACATGAGTTTCCAGTGTTGAAGAACAACTTTCTTATTTCTGGAGTTTCAAGAAATTGTGGAGTCCCAAGATGAAGTTTTTTTGGTGTTGAGAGATCAAACCCAGGGCCTCACTCATGCCAGGCAAGTGCTCTAACACTTAGCCATATGCCTAGCTCTAAGATGAGTTTCGATAAAATCAACCCACAGCACTGATACCATGGACAGACGGCACACAGCTTAGATTTCACTATTTTGTATAACAGACTGTGAGCCAGATTTTATTATTGCTACAATTTCTCACAATCTGGGAACATGTGTGTCTAACCATTTTTTCATGTAATACTTAGTTGTTAAAAAAAAATCATGCAAATCTGGAATGATCTCCTCCTTAAAAAAGTGTTTTATTTACACTGTACTGATTCACCCCTTTCAAATGCATAGCTTCTAATAGGAAGAGTTAGAGGCATAGGTACCACAAATTGTGGTTTAACAATGTACAGGCACTATATCTGTTTATCCAGTTGTACCTGAAATCTGCTGATACCCCAAACCAGCTATACTAAAGCAAACTCTGGGGGGGGCGGTGCATCTAGATGGGAATATATAACAACATATATTAGAGCCTAACAGGATATTTGGGTTGTGCTTTTGGCCAGCTGACTGGCACATGGGAAAAGTATATAAAACCCATATCTAACTACATATCTTCAAGTTTATCATCATGGCACAAGTTCACAAAGATGCATAACTGGGAAAAATGAGCAACTGCACTGTTATATTATGTAAAATCAAGTCAACCATTCTGCAGCTTCCTGGCTGTCTCTTTTTATGACCAGAAATACTTAAAAAGGAAACCTCAAGTGTGCTGAGGTAATTATCAGAACATTTGGGTACCTCTGTTCCTGAATATCAAGTATTAGGGCTCATCTCCACAATCCCGTTTTGCAATAAGCACATAGAGCAACTCAAGATAGACTCCTCATTAGGTGCTGAACTCTTAAATTCAAGGGGGTGGGTGGGCTCTAGATTATCCAGGGCTGAGCTGCTCTATGAAGGGTCAAACTTTACAACTCTAAGTCTTATCCTGGTTCTGGGTACATTTCAGTTCTGCTCCAAGTCCACTTTGCTCCAATTCAGCGATGACAGACATATATTTGAATTCATTTGGTCTGAGGTTAAAGGTCTCCACTAAACCATAGGTCTCTTTCCGATCAGTGCCATAGAAGAGCTGGACTTGGTTGGCGATGCACTGTGCCTCAGCAACATTCTGAAAGATAAAAAGAATTATAAGTTCTCTCCTTGTATAGGGCCACAAAACTCTGAGTCTAAGATCTGTGGTGGTTGGGAGCTCCTAGGAATCACTGCTTCCGAAAGCTCTAACTCTGATTTCCCAAGCCTTGGTTAGGTGTTCCTACTCCATAAAACCAAATCGTCCTATGTTTATTACTATAAAAGTATTTATCACACTGTATTATATTTGTCCTTTTCCCCACTCTTTCTGTCTTGCCTAATACAAATTCCTCAAAGATACAGACCAGGACTTGTTTTATATTTCTGCACACAGTGACATCTGGTGAATGTTTGCTGAATAAACTAATGCATATGTTCACAATTTCCTTCTACATTCAATTTCTAAATAACTGTTAAATATATCTACAAGGGAAAAAAAGAGCAAGGGTTACCCAGGTCTGAGAACTACTTTGTAAATACTAAGTTCTTGACTAACCAGACTTACACTTGAATAAAATCTGTTACTGATACCACCTCAGTGTGAAAAATAATGCGAAAGCTAGTTGTGATAGTTTCAAATAAAATGTGTCCACAAATTGTAATATACTTCTCCCTTTGGTGGAGCATTTCATTAAGGGAGGGTGCACTCAGTGACTTGCTGCTAACAAACAGACTAAGATGAAATGATATGGAAGGATTACTGCTATTAAGACATAAGAGATTATAGCTCTGTCTTGGTTCACTCACCCTTGGGAAAGCCAAGCTATTATACCATAAGGACATTCAAGTAGCCCTATGGAGAACCCAATGTGGTAAGGAACAAGGTTTTTGCCAACAGCCATGTGAGTGGGGCCAGAAGTGAATCAATCCTTAAGTTCAATCTGCCTTTGATGCCTACAGTCTTAGCCAACATCCTAACAGCAACCTCATGAGACTTTGAGCCAGAATTACCCTGCTAAGCTGCTCCTGAATTCCTGCCCTAAAGAACTATGAGGCAATAAAGGTTTGCTGTTTTAAGCCACTAAGTTTTGAAGTAATTTGTTATGTAGCCAGTTATAACCAATCTACCAGCAAAACCCCAGAGAGAGAAAAGTCTATCTTCTCTAAAGGCAGAGCAGGGACATAGTGAGCACGGGACTGTGGGGCTGTGGGGCAAGGGCCACACCCTCAAAACCTCACAAAAGAATTACCTCAAATGATTCTGACTTTTATTTCTACACATTCTGCAGTTCTAGTTCACCAGAGGCACTTATTTATCATCATGATGTTCATACGGCCAAAATCAAACCTCAAAAGATACTGGAAAATTCCATAAAAACTGACTGTTCAAAGTGTGATGTGTCTAGCTACTGAATGATGAAGATGAGTTTATAAATACTGTAGGCTGTGCTTCACCTCTATTCCCTCCCTGGGACTTTTAGGTAATTTCTCATTAGGCATTAATCTTTGAGACTGGATCTTCAATCAAAATCCTTTTCCCAAAAACCTAGCTATGTAAAATTAATAGAATTTTAAAGTTGGAAGGAGCCTCAGAGATCATCCAGTTCTCATTTAATAGGCCAGGAAACCAAAGTAGATGGGGTTCAGGGACAAGGCCAAGGTCATGTAGTTGGCCAGTGGCAGACTTGAATAATACCCAAGGGTGAGTGATCCAAGACAGAGCTATAATCTCTTATGTCTTAATAGCAATAATCCTTCCATATCATTTCAATACATTTCCCTATATTTCACTCCACTACTGTTTCTGATAATTAAGATTATGATAGAGGCCAACTAACTTTACTTCATCAATTTACCTTTCTTAAATTCAAATGTGCATCAGATGCAAACCCTAAAGTAAATGCGCTGCCACATGAGGCAGTTACTACCATTTTCTGAGCCCCAGAGTGGTAGGAATTCTGATATCAATCTTTTATTTGAGGTGGTTTGGGCAGGGGCAAATTTAGCTGTGTTAATTCTAGAACAGTGCTATCCAAAATATTCTGCAGAATCTTAAGGATTCTGTGGAGGTGCCTCAGGTCCCTTCCTCTCAGTTTTAGCTGTTATTTCCTGGGATTTTACATAAGATTTTGTTTGGATAAGGGGTTCTCCCACCATTTAAAAAAAGTTTAAATGGTGTGTAGGGAGGTAGGTTATAGGGAGAGAGGTAGACATCTCTCTTTCTCTCCTGGAGGGTTATGGAAAGCATCCCTTACTCCTTATTCACTCAGCCTTTTATTCTCTTGATCTTCAACATAAAACATTGGTTTCTTCCCTTTCCAACACCCACAAAGATAAATATACTAACTCCTTGTGATGCTCAATAAGAAGGTATTATTAACAGACTTGATTTTTTTCTCTTTCAATTTTTTTTGTATCTGTTATGATTTGGATCTGGAATTGTCCTCCTAAAAAAATTCATGTTTTGAAAGTCTGGTTCCCAATGTAGTAAGGTTCAGAGATAGGGCTTTTATGAAAAGATTGGATTATGAGAGAYGTAAGCTCATCAGTGGATTAATCCATTTGATGGATTAATAATTTCAATGGACTACTAGGTGGTAAATGTAGTCAGGTGGGTTGTGGCTGGAGGAAGCAGATCATTGAAGGTTGTGCCTCTGGGGACTATATCTTGTTCCTGGCTCCTTGTTCTCTCTTTCTGCTTCCCAACTGCCATGATCTTCTGCTTCACTTCAGGCTCAAAGGAATGGAGTTGGCTAAACATGACTGAATCCTCTGAAACTGTCAGCTAAAATAAAATTTTCCTCCTCTAAATTATCCTTGTTAGGTATTCTGATCACAGCAACAAAAAGCTGACTAACACAATATATATTTACAATCAATGTACCAAGTCCTGCCCATATTTTCCCCTCTCCATTTCTGCGGTCTTTTTCTCTCTTCCACCTTTACTAGTACTGCTCTAGTTCAGATCTGCACTATCTCTGGCCCAGACTATTCCAAATGTCTTCTAAATGATCACACTGACCAACTAGAACTGCAGAATGTTTAGGAAGCAAATAATTAAGGTTAGTGGTCTTAAAACCTAATTCTTCATGGGTTACTCTATATTAAACCCTTTAATAACTCTTTTCATGCCTTTAGGATAAGGCCAAACTTCTAAACACAGTCCTACAAACCTCCTTAAAAAATATGTGTTTTATATATATATATATATATATATATGTATACACACACACACATATATATATAATATATACATATATTATGTATGTGTGTGTATGTATGTATGTATATGTATCCCAAGCCATTTTATGCCTTTTAACATTTACTTATGTTATTTTCTCAGTTGGTAACACCTCCCTTTCCATGTGTCCCTCCTCTAGGAAGCCTTCTCACTCTTTGGGATAGGTCCCATTCCTGACCCCACTTCTGAACCCTATATAGCACCAACTGCATTCCAATAAAATCATCTATTGATACATATGTGAAGTCAAACAAGGTTAGGTTTTTAAAATATACTACTAACTTTTTAGCATGAAGGTCACTTCAGAAGAAACCTCTAGTTTTTACACATTTCTATTCATCTGAGATTAATGCTTTACTATACTTGGAAATGCTGTACCTAAAGTGCACTTTTCATGTTCCAGTATATATGGGAACATATAAGCATATTACATTTCTAGGTTTCCCTTCTCTATATCATGTAACTTTACAATAAATTCTAATGCATCTAGTTCTGTACTATACTGGAGCCTCATAGTCATTTATACAAGGCAATGAATGTTTCCTGGTGTGTTGTCAAATATTATAAGGTCAAGAAACAATTTTCATGGTGATAAGAACTGTGTAGCAGTTTGAGACCACCAGAGTGAGATGGTATGGAACAATGGAAAAAAGGAACAATGCAGAAAAGGCCTCCTCTGACCTCTAGAATCCTCTTTAAATATAATCAAATGCTGTGCTTTTACTGAAGACCAGAAAATATAGCACATTCTATCACATTTCCATGGTCAAATCAAACTTTGTCATTATAGGTAACTGTATTCCCTCCGAATCTCAATGTGAAACATATGCACTTTGTCTCCTATTTCCTATCTTTCTAATTCACTCCCAACTCCAACAATCTATAACCTCACAATTCTCACTGTTTCAAACTTTCCTTATCTATTCACTTCCCCTTTACTCAGCTTTCATTCCTTGGTCAATAATTATAATCATTCCTTTGCATCTATCTTTAACTTCCTGACCCCTCAATCACTTATTATACTACTTGGTCAAACCATACCCCTAGTTAAATTGAACTTTCTCTCTGTGCCCTACCTATACAAAAATTCACTCTTCTTGTATGCTGTCATACCATGGGCAGGCAAACACTTCCATGAATAGTATATATTTTAGGCTCTGTACATCATAGAATCTTTAACTACTCTATTCTGCTGTAGAACAAAAGCAGCCAAAGATAGTATGTAAACGAATGTACGTGGCTATGTTGCAATAAAACTTCTATTTATGGATGTTAAAATTTGAATTTCATATGCTTTCCACATATAATGAAATTTCTCTCTCTCTTTTTAACTTAATTAAAGATGTAGAAAACATTAGTAACTCATGGGCCTTATGAAAACAGCCTGTGGGTTGGATATAGTCCACAGTCTGTAACTTGCTGATCAATCCTAGACAATTTCATACTTTCTCTTTTTGACTCAAATGTCTAACATCTATTTTTCCATGCTTACTCTCAGTGTTGGGCTTTCTTTTCACTGAGCAATGGGGCAAGCACTTCTATAAGCTACTATTATCTCTATCCATTTAACTCTGTGTCCTTATACCCTGACTTCTCTCTGTTAATATGATCCTGGCAAGAATCAAACCCTCATTCTCAGACTTGTCCACTCAAAAATATCACTCTTTCCCTCTTTGCCTTGTATTATCAATATTCCCCTCTCTATTGGATGTTTCCCATTAGCATATAAATGTTATTTATCCCATATTCAGAACAAAAGACATTCCCACTTCTCTTCCTCTAGCTAGTGCTCCACTCTTTCCTTCACTTAAGAGTTATTAATGTTTTCTCTTTCTAATTTCTCTTCCCATCCTCTCTTACATCTATTCCAATCATGCTTGTATCATTATACCATCCCTTTGAAACTGCTCTCATAAATGTTCCCCCAAATCTCCATATTTGTTAAATCTAATAAATTCTCAGTCCTCATCTCATTTGTCCTAAAAGCAAGTGAGATTTGGCCAATTGTGCAATCCCTATGGCTTGAAACATTTTTTTCTTGGCTTTTATAGCATTCTACCATCTTAATTTTCCTTCTGCCTCACAACTGTTCCTTCTTAATCTTCTTTGCTGATACTTCTTCATCTCTCCAGGACTCAAGTTGTTAGACTTCTTCTCTATTTTCACTTATTTCCTTGGTGATTTCATTCAGTCTTGTGGCTTTAAGTACAATCTGTGTGTTGACAATCCCATATTTGTATCTGTAGCCTGAACCTCTCCCCTGAATACCAGACTCATATATCTAACTGCCTACTACTTGGAGATCTAATGGGTATCTCAGATTCAACATATCTAGAAGTGAGCTCCTGATTTTTCTTCCAAACCTATTACTTCTGAAATCTTGTCTATCTCAGTTAATGGCAAATCTGTATTTCTAGAAAGGATTTTAGGTGACTTCCAGTTGAATATGATGTGCAGAAGATTTATGAGGAAAGAAGAATGGGAAAAATGGAACTGGACAGTTTTATGACTAAAAATCAGGGAATTAATTAATGCTATTGTGATATATTAGCTGAATAACACTGTCCTTCTCACTATGCATCTGCTAAGAGAAAGAGAGACAGGGAAAATAAGTGAGTGTTGTAATGAAGAATCTCAGGGTAAAGAGGCTCTAAAGTGTCACTATATTGAGGATACCCTGAACTATTTCTGTCAGATAATGAGATTGAAATGAGCAAGAACTAGACAAAGAAGTTGTATAGTAATCATAAAACTACTTCTTGTATTTGTGCAGTGAGAACACAATGAACGTAGTCAGTGCTCTATCCTGGTGATTCCAAGTGGAAAAGGAAATCATGTATATAATGAAGGTTACATATGTGAAAAGTGTAGAGGAAGATAAAAGAGAGAACTATTCTAGACTTTCAGCTCTTCTCTACACTTAGGAAGCCATTTATTTGTCCACCACATCTCTTACCTAAATTCTTAGGGTCAGATGTGTCTTGGATTCAGAATTACTTTATAAAGGTAATAGGTACAGATAATATGGAACTACGGATTATATAACTCCCCACAGAAAATACACTTAGTATTTCCCTAATAAAATGTGTAATATTCTATGTCAAGTGGGACTAATAGGACTATAAATGGCCTCATCTCAGTTTAAATGAAGATTTACCTCCCAAATGAATTTAAGCCGAGTATAGTTTGTTTATTTTGGTATCAGGGATTGAACCAAGGAGTACTTAACCACCAAGCCACATCCCCAGCCCTTATTTATATTTTATTTAGAGACAAGGTCTCACTACGTTGCTTAGGGCCTCACTAAGTTGCTGAGGCTGGCTTTGAACTCACAATCCTCCTGCCTCAGTGTCSCAAGCTGCTGGGAAGGTCAAGTAAGGTTTGTGACCAAATGAGTATTAGGAAATGATTTTCAGGGGCTGGGGCTGTGGCTTAGAGGTAGAGTGCTCGCCTACCATGCGTGAAGTACCAGGTTTGATCCTCAACACCACATAAAAATAAAATAAAGATACTGTGTCCACCTTTCACTAAAAAATAAATATTTTAAAAAAAGGAAAATTATTTTCAGAGCCTATGGATTTCAGAGTTGTGAAAAGATGATTGAGGATGTGTTCTAGCTTCAAACAGCAAAAGTGTGAGCAAGATCAAATTATTTTCAACTTTGTAAATAAGAAACAAATTAGGGAAATACTAAGAGTGTTTTCTGTGGGGAGTTGTATAATCCATAGTTCCACATTATCTATACCTATTACCTTTAGGTCTCTAGAATTTTACCTCTCATGAACTTTAACAGAAGAGTAACACCTTCAGAACCACTAAGTAAATTCAAAGAGGTAAATGTTGATTCTTACCAGAAAAGTGGAATCCATTTCTGCTGTCATCAGTACTAGGCCCTTTTCTTCCTTAAGTTCAGGGTAGTGATATAAAATCAGCTGGCTGGCTGCAGTGTCCCCCCGGGTCTGCAAGAGGAATACTTATCAAGGCTCAATAAGGTACCACCACAACAAACTGCAATTTCAAAGCAATAGAGAGTCTGGAGGAAATTCTGGTTCTTAAAAGCCTCTTGGGTGGCTAGTGAGTTGGAGAACTGGTATGTGGGGGCAAGGTCAGACTTGCAAAGGCACAGTGAAACTGACAGTTTGCAGGATGTTATTTGTGTCTTCAATTGGAAAAGATTTGGCTTTTTTCCCAGAAAATGTTTATAGAAGAAGGTGAATCCTTCATTGTGACTATACATTTAAAACCAAAATAGCACAAGCAGCTACCAAATCAAGTTCTAAAGAAAGAAATATGCCTTTGTAATTCTCACTTTTATGGACTAGYTCATTTCATAGCTAAAATCTACTCTCCTTGGCTGGCTCTGAAGATAGAGTAAGCTGCAACAAAAGCTAGAGATATAGTCCAGATTTGTAGTGTACAGTTTTAAAATATAATCTGGTTAGGGAAGGGAGGAGGGAAAAAGTATAAGAATATCATAATTTCACAAGGAAGCAGCTGTGAGCTACCTTGCTCAGCAAAATATCGGCTTTTGTTTAAAAGATTCAAATGCTTTGAATCTAACTTTTTAAATCTAATGTTCAGGAGTAAACAAAAAAAGGAAGCAAACAAAATGACATTCATTAAATGGAAAATATTAATCTAGCACCTCAGAAGGTGCTGACTTGGTTAATACAAAACACAAAAGACACAGAACCTTCTTCAGTGGGCTTATAGCTTGGWTTAAAAAGATAACATCCTAACTTAGACATATTTGTTAAGTGGGGCACATGCAGTAAGAGCTACTGAGGTCTGGGGAAGAGATAAAAGAGAGCCAGACATAGTAAGAAAAAGTAACCTAAGGTCTTTTCTCTAATTTCTTGACATTAAGTGGGGCCTAGAAAAATAGCCCAACATTCAAAGTATGACAGTTCAGCAGTGCCATAACAAATAATGCTGGGAGTTAATAAATATTCTGTGCCCCAAACCTCAGAAAGGGCTTCTAGTCCCAACAACGAGCAGGCCTTTCTTCCTACCCTTTTGCTTGGTAGGGCACAAGTCACCTACCTGAATATTTATAAGTGCAGTGAAGTGGAGTTCAGTACCTGTCCACTGTCCTACAAAGAACTCATAACCTTCCCTTCTTGGTAGTGCACACAGAAACTGGGAAAAAAATACACAAGGAGACAGTTAAATAAAAGAAGCCATTTGCTCTAGGTCCATCCTCTTGCATCTATTACTCCATTTTTATCAATACTTGTTTTTTAAAACATTTTAGAATTATGAAATTCATGTGACAATATAACACTTTTCAGCCCACTTAAGAAATAAAACATTAGAGATATAATTTGAGGATCCCTTTGCATGCCATTCCAATCCCATTCTAGAGTTTACATTCAGTCCTGTATATATCTACCATTCCCTTCTGTTTTTATACTTTTAATACATATGTGTAAATCTATAAGAAAAATATACTATTTGAGCATTCAAAAACTTTAAATCTTATCAAACTGTATATATCCTCTTATAACTTGCTTTTTTTTTATAAGACACTGATGGATCTTTATTTTATTAATTTATTTATATGTGATACTGAGAATTGAACCCAGTGCCTCACWCATGCTAGGCAAGTGCTCTACCACTGAGCCACAACCCATAACTTCCTTTCTTGAATTCATATTAGGCTTCTGAGACTAATATATGTTGATAAATGTAATCCTTTAATTTTTCACTATTGTATGCAATTCTACTACAAACATTTCTCACAATTTATTCATCTATTTTTTTCTTGATGAACATTTGGGTCTTTTTCAATTTCTAAGTTTACTAATGGTATTGAAATAACTTGTTCGAATTGCTATAAAATCATTTAATAATACTGGCACATGACTTTAGATTAAATACCAAGAAATTATTAGTTTTATGCCCAGGATGCTTAGAATTGAAGATGAGCAGTAGAGAATGGTGCCAGAATAAAATAAAGTCCAATAATACTAGTCACAGAGTTGTTTTCTTACTGGCAACCACTCAGGCTCTGATTCATTACTATTAAATATCTGAGATAACCTTGGTGGCTATTTGATATTCTTTATTAGGGGGAAATAAGCTTATGGAGTTTTATTTAGGCATATCTGAAGTATAATAAATTATATACATTTGAAGTACATATTATACATTTAATATTTATATTAAAATTTGGTTTGTTCTATTACTTGCATACTGTGAAACTATTACTATAATCAACTTAATGATCAYATCTATGGTCTCTAAAAGTTTTTCTGTATCCTTTTGTAATTCATACCTCCCCGTCCCCTACTGTCCCTATGCAACCACTGATTTGCTTTCTGTGACTTTAGATCAGTCTATATTTTAGAATTTTGTATAAATGGTAGYATGGAATATGTCTTTTATCAGGGAAGGTTGGCTTCTTTCACTCAGCATTATTGTTTTGTGATCTATCCATGCTGTTCTATGTATTCATTCATTTTTATTGCTGAAGGTTATTGTGTGTATAGGTGCAGATGTATGTTTTTTCTCTCTCCCCTCATAATTTCTATGCACTTGTGACTAACTTTTGGATTATTTCTATTATTTAGTTATTATGAACCGAGCTATTTGAACATTCATGAATAGGTCAGTATATGATTGCTTTTAGTTTTTTCAGAAAAATATCTAGGAATAGAATGTCTAATTAATATGGTAGGTGTGGGCTTACACTTAAAGAAATTATTTTCTAACATGGTTGTACCATTTTATACAATCAATAGCAATATAAGAGAGTTCCAGTTGCTCCATATCTTCACCAACACTTGGCATCATCAGTCTTTTTAATTTCAATTATTCTAGTGGTATCTCATTAAGGTTTTAATTTGCATTCTCATAATAACTAATGAGAATTCAATGAGAACTAATAAGCATCTTTTCAGCTGCTTATCTGTCACTTCACTCCTTAGGTAAAACATCTATTCAAATCTCTTATCCATTTTTTTAATTGCATTGTCTGTCCTCTTTATTATTGTAATAAGAGTTTTTAACATAACTTGGGTTGCTTCCACCATTTTATTATTTTGATTAGTGCTGTTAAGAATATAAGTGTACAAGTGTACAAATATTTTACTTTTGATGAAACCTAATCTAATGATTTGTTTTCTTTTGTAGTTTGTGCTTTTCATGGCATAATTAAGAAATCTTTGCTCAACTAAACCTATGACTTCCTCTTTTATTTTTCTTCCATTAGTTTTTATTTACGTCTATGACCTATTTTGAATCAACTTTTATGTAGTATGAGATAAGAGTAGAGGTTCATTTTCTTTTCATATGGCTATCCAATCATTTTAGCACCTTTGTTGAAACCATTATCTTTTTCCTATTTAATTATTCTGGCATCTTTCTTGAAAAACAACTAACCTGAAATAGATTGGTCTATTTCTGAACTCTATCCTGTTCCACTGATTTCTATGTCTATTTATGCTAATACCACAATTTTTTTGGTACTGAGGATTAAACCCAGAGCCACATCCTCAGCCATTTTTAATTTTTTATTTTGAGACAGGTTCTAAGTTGCTTAGGGCCTCGATAAGATAAGTTGTTCAGGCTAGTCTCAAACTTGCAATCATCTTGCCTCAGCCTTCCAAGTCACTGAGATTATAAGYATGTGCCACTATGCCCAGCTCCATACTGTTTTTAGTATTATACCAAAGCCTATTGAGATTTTGACTGGAATTGTATTTAACCTAGAGATCAATTTGTAGAGAACTGACATCTTAACAATATTGAGTTATCCAATCCAAGAACATGACATATCTCTCCTTTTACTTAGATTTTTTGTGTGTGTATGTGTGGTGCTGGGGATTAAGGCAAGCACTCTACCAACTGAGATATATCTCCAGCTTTAAATAATTCCTTATTTTCTGTCAGCTATGTTTGGAAAAAAAATTGAAATTATTACCAATAGTAGCCCAGCTGAAAGTCAGCTACCCATTCTCTTTCCCTGGAACCTTCTGAAAGCTCATTATTCCAGCAACAACCTCAAAAACAGGCACATATTACCAGAATAGCATGGCCACAACTACAAAGAAAATTGCCAGTAAATTAGGAACTTGAGAGAGGTTGCAAAGATCAAGGTCTCAGGTACCTTCTAATATGCACTTACCCTAACAGATGAAGACCAACATCAGAAAGGCCTGATATGTGGTAGAGAGCTAAAAAGCCCAAGGCTTATTGGGTAAAACCCATATTATTTTGTAAGGCTATAAATATCACTTATCAGTACAATTAATATGTGGGCATCTTTGTTAAATAAACAGTACACCATAACAAGTGAGAGTATGATGGAATGGGTTGGAAAACACCTTTCTTGGCAGCACTGCTAAGCAATCCTTACACGGTCACCAAAAACTTACTGTTGGACAGGACTGTGCCCGGTTCCAGATCAAATCAAACTTCTCTTYCTGTAAGTTAGAAAAGAGTAAATTAGTTCACAAACAGGGAAACACAAAAGACCACAGTCATAATTAAATTCACCAAGATTGGATTCTAGAACTATCAATAACTAAAACAATATTTTAAGTTTCATAATTTATAAATCACTCTTGTAACAGAAAGACAAGAGAASTCAGATGTGTGCTTTGCTGTTCATTATCAGAATTAAGAGTGAAAATAATGCTTCAACTCTCCAGGGAACTCACTAAGTCAGTCCAAGGGAGAGCTGAGAAAGTTTGCTCAAATACTAAGTTGGTATAAGAAATCTAAAATATAATGAAAAGTACAGATTGTTTGGACTGTTGAACTCATGAAGGGTATAGCTGTATATGTATGTATATGAGGCTAAAAAATAGAACAAAGCAAAAACTGATAGTGATACCCTCATACATAACAACCAAAAGGTCTGGCTTTATCCTTCTATCTGTTTTCTTCCTTATTCTTACACTTATTCGTGTAAGCAAGTATATATTTTATGCATGATATAATTAAGCTTAATCTAAGCCACTTCCTCTTCAGAGAAGAAAAAGAACATTGAAGAACTAGCTGATAACCCAGTATTTAAAATGGTTTCCTGTCAGCAGAAGGGCATTAAACTAGAGAAGCCAACAGCATCCCTTTCCAGTCACAGACCTTAATGGTCAAGCCAGTGACAATCTCTAAGACAGAAATTTCAAGAGGGAAAAAAACAAGAAAATGCTATTTGCTAAGGGGAAATGCCACAGAAAACTAGGAGGAAGCTCCAAGTCAGCTTGGGTAAGTTATTTATAGATAAGAAGTGAAGAAAGCTATACTAGAGGCTATGTCTTAAATTCCAACAGCCGGGTTGAAAACATCAAAAAGAAATAAAAGACATCTGGAAATTACTCAGCAACATGAACTTATTCCATGCTCCCTTGTCAGAGACTTAACTCAGAGACATTTCTAAACCAGAAAGAGGAAAAACAAAAGCCATAAATATACCATATGGAGCTTCCAATCTTTGGCRCTTAGGGCATAATAAAAACCCTCAGAGCTGTAAAATCCAAGTTCTCAAGAGGCCATAAACACAAGAAAAGTAAAGGCAACTGCCGGCTAAGGTCAGAGCACTGACCTTCATACTGTAACACTTTCATTTCCCGTCCAAACTACTTACAGGAATAACTGCATAGACTGTATCTTTTGCTGCAAAATACTGCTGCCAAATCTGTATAGAAAAAAAAGGGGTAAATTTGTGATATGTGGGTAATCTTTTCAACCTATGCCAAGAAATGGTGATAATTTTCGTTTGCTCAGAATAATATTCTACTTGATAGCAAAGAGGAAAAACCCACTGTAGTGCTTTTATAACTAATATATAATTACAAAGATGATTTAATGCCACACACTCCTCTAAATGATTAAATTCTAATTCTTACTAACAAATTCTGCCAGAGAAATAGATTCTATGACCTTTGAAATCATTCCTTTCAAGATGTGCCTTGTGATCCTCTTTTGAGATCCTTTTTTTTGGTATCTTCTTTCTTTCCTCCCCAAATCCTCATCTCTCCAGACAACTGTGGGCCTGTTACTGATAGCCAGAACATCAGTCATTCAGAGTACAGGATCTGGAGTCAGGAGGACATGGATGTAGATTCCAGTTCCAATCATTTACTAGCTGTGCTACCTTGGGTAAATCACTGAAACTCCCTAAATAACATCAATAAAATAGCAATAATATCAACCTCACAGGATTGTTGTGAAGACTAGCTGAACTAATACAGGTTTGTACTTGGCACAAAGTAAACACTAAAAGTAATGCTAGTCTTTATTAGCTAATTTTGCCATGTTATAGGCAGCTTCCTACTTCCTGAAAGTCTTTCATATAAGGAAGAGATCAAATTTTCTAGGTGACTTTGGTAYAGATAAGACAGAAGTTGACTCTCATGATGCAAATACCAAAGTGTAGGGAATACAAAATTAAATAATGGAATTAGAAAATTAGAAAATAAGGAAAAAAAATATGCCCATAGTCTTACTACCAGAAAAGAATCACTATTGTTATTTTTGATATGTTTCTAGCATATCTTAAGAATATTTTTTGTTATAATATAAATAGATATAATATATATGCAATACTGTATCTTGTTTTTTTAATCCCCTCTATATCACATACATGCTCTGTGTTTATATTTTTCATTACTATTATTTTTATTGTTTTCCATCTTTTTATGTTATTGGCTCTCACTGGAAAAGCCTTCCTCTCTATCTCTGACCCCCCAATCTTTCCTGTTCTCTGAAGCTGAGAACAACTACGTTTTTTCCACGTAGTCTCACTTGGTCATTTCAATCAGATGAAATGAAATAAGGCAGGAGGAGATAACAGACACATTCTATACACAGAATGACAACATTAACAAGGGCACAGAAGTCAAGAAAGGCATCAGAACCAAGGAGACCTCTGAGTGAGCACATGTTGAAGAATGGGTCATCCTTTCCTAAAATTGCTCTGCTCTGTCAATATTCCCATAAAATATATGGCCCCAGAACGATGGCTCAGTGGTAAAGTACTTACCTAGCATGTGCAAGGCCCTGGGTTTGATCCCTGGCACCACATAAACACACACAAACACATACACACACACAAGTCCCAACTGAAGATACTAATCAAAGTGTGATCTAGCTTACCAAAATATAGAGCACGTAAGCACAAAAAACCCCACTACTTCCTAGAACCCAAGCAAACCACTCAACTAATGCAGCCTAACATTGCCTTTTCTTTCTTCTTCTTCTTCTTTTTTTTTTTATGCTTGGGATTGAACCCAGGGCTTTGTGCATGTAAGGCAAACACTCTACCAACTGAGCTATATCCCCAGGCCAAACTTCTTAATTTAAGGATAGCATATTCTGATCATTTTGATTTAATTTATGATATTAGCAAAGTTTATGAATGAACACTGAAATTTTTGAAACTATTAGATATTTCCTAACTTGGCTGGCCTTCACTACTCAAAAAATATTTCATTGAACACAARTTTGTATCTACATTTATAGGTTTAAATGATACCTCTATGATCAGGCCTCCTAGACCTGGTTTTCTTGCTCCGAAGTGACATGTATGGTGCCCAAGTTCCACTGGCACTCCTTCCCAAAGTCATAGCCTGATGTCCCCCTGAGACTTTGCATACGTCTCTACTAACAGAAACTGAATCTTGTGCTGGTTTTATTTGTTTTTATGTTTGTCCCTCCACTAAACTTATTGAGAATAGGAAATTTTGTTTGGTACAGGATCTGGAGTCAGGAGGACATGGATGTAGATTCCAGCTCCAATCCCATGTTCCTCTTGCACTCCTTGGTAAATGCTTGGTAAAATAAATGATATAACATCCAAAGGAAATGCATTACAACTCTAAGTGAATATGATGCAAAGTCAAACAGACATGGATTTTGAGTTCCAGCTCCCTCAACTATAAATTGAGACTGACAACACCTTCTTCACAGAGTGGTCATAAAAATTTAATTAAATAATGCATATGAAGCACTAGGGATAATACCTGACAGATATGTTACTTTTATTATTATTTTGAGAAATAGTACATATACCTAAAATGAAATTCAAGAAATGCCAAAAAATAGCTTCTTCTATAGTCTCATTAGAAAAGAACCAGACATAAAAAGGTAACTGGCAATGAAAATCAAGGCATATACAATGACCAAATGGGCAGGATAGATGAGGAGTATTTGAAGGAAGGAGTTCAAGAAGTTTCTTGCAGAAGGTTCTGGAATCGTGGAAGATTATGAATGTCAAAAAAAAAAAAAARAAAGAAAAAAGAAAGAAACAAAAAGAAATGAGAAGTTACTTAACATCTGCAAGCAGGTTCCCAACATAATATTTTTATTCATTTAAGAACTATAGCCCTTACTCAGTACTAGGCATTGTTCTAAGTACTTTATAAATATTAATTCATTTAATTCTTAACTCTTTGAATGTATGTACTATTATCTCTACTTTAAAATAGAGAAACTAAGGCTCAAAAAGCTAACTAACTTGTCCATGTCAGACAATTAGGAGGTGGTCAAGCTAGGACTTAAAACTGGCAATCTATGTTTTAACCAGTATGCTATGCTTCCCTATAAGGCAAGCAGGACTCAGCTGGTGAGAATATGATATGTAGAGGGGGAAGAAATGGGAACAGGAAACCTACTGGAAAGATAATATAGTAATCCAGGTATAGGGTATTTTTGGTTTTAAATTAGATGTAGGCAACAGGAATGAAAAAGGGAAAATACAAGTTGGTTAGGTATGTGAGAGCAAGACCAAGAAAGACAAGTTTATGCCACTGTTCTTGTAATACATCACTTTTGCCTCATATAACTACTTTTTCATTTTGACTAAAAAGAGGTATCAGAAAATGTATGCTCTTTCTTCTCTCAGATTTGGTTCATAGAACACATTTTCATGGAGTATGCCAATTCATTTTCATTTATTACCTGTTTTATTTCTTCTGCAGTTTTGTCTTTCACCATCTCAATGTTTAAGATTGAACTGAGAGTCTTGAAAGAGAAAATAAAAAGYAATTAACACCTACAATAAAAACAATAATAATAAACCCCCTCCCCACAGCTTGATTCTGTAGGAATTCTTGTAGGAAACAACCTATTGGCACATCGAAACAGAGCTTCAATAAGTATAGAAAAAGTATATGAAAATCTATATATGCTCAGAGACAGTGAGTCCCCAGCCCACACAGTTTTTCATAGTTCTTTTCCTGGGGGCTATCTATTAGGTCACCATGTTCATGCTTCACTCTCACCAATGAGTTCTATAGAACTTTGCAGCTGTTAAAAGGAGAAAGGTGGCTGTTATTTTTAATGTAACTGCTCTTTTACCAGAGATGGTTCCTTATGTGCAAATTAAGTGACAGACTAAATATGTTTTTATTTGATTTTTAAAACTACTTCCTAAAGAAAGGAAGGATGTTACTATGTTTCCTTCAAATTTTCTCTAGAACCTATACTTGAACTAGGGTCAAGGATACAAAAATTCATAGAAATATTTCTCATCTCTAGGTGAAAAATCATCTTATACAAAATCACTTAACCACAATAAATATGTTCAATTTTTTAGCCTCTTGATATAAAATGTCTCCTATGACTTTAGATTTGGATCTTTATATTTAATTAGAAACCTACCTTGTCCTTAGTGAATCCTCTGCTTATAGACTGTTTCCCCAAGGTATCTGTCTGAAATACATGATGAGACAGGATATCAATCTATGCTTTATTCATAGGAAAAAGGAAATCCATTTAGCTGAAGTGCACAAACTCATTAAATAATTTTGCACTTAAGAACTCACTTCTTTCCACTCTTTATAACAACTGTACACATTACTCCTGTTCATGAAACAACTTGTCCCTGACTAAGACTTTGAGATGCAGAGATGAGAAAAGATTTGTCAGTAACCATTATCAGCTAGTACCGAGAGTTCATTCTATACTTGCCACTATGAATATGAGGGATTCCTTTGCAGAATTTGGTCTGCTTGGGTTTTCTGTGATTGGCTCTTTCAACTATTTCACATTGAGCTACAGAAGAGATAAAAATATAAAGATATTTTTTTAAGACTGCTTCTCATTTCCGATGGCAGGTGTCCTTAATAGACTAGAGTCTTTCTGAGTACTCAGTCTTTTTCTTTTTCATGGTGCTGGGGATTGAACCCAGGGCCTTGTGCATGTGAAGCAGGCACTCTACCAACTGAGCTATATCCCAAGTTCTCCCTTCTTTTTTTTAGTAGTAGGAATTGAACCTGGGGGCCTCATACATGATAGGCAAGTTGAGTACTCAGTCTCAATGGTCTTTCCATTAAATTAGATTCTCTCTCAAAAAGGCAAAAAACAACTGAAAGTGATTATTTTATCTCCTGGCTTACTAGCTTTGACAGAAGCTACACACTAGAAATCCTAGTTCGAGTTGTTATTGATATAGGAATGCTGGTGGATARCTGATAGTTCTGAATCTTCTATTCAGTCTTTAAGTTTAAGACTATGACTTTCAGGGCTGGAGATGTGCTCAAGCGGTAGCGCGCTCGTCTGGCATGCGTGCGGCCTGGGTTCGATCCTCAGCACCACATACAAACAAAGATGTTGCGTCCGCCAAATACTAAAAAATAAATATTAAAAATTCTCTCTCTCTCACTGTCTTTCACTCTCTCTTTAAAAAAAAAAAAGACTATGACTTTCAAAGGTAAGGAGTACAGCCTATACATAGGATTTTGAAGCTAAAAAATACTTTTTCTGCATAAGACCTTGCTTTTGTCACTCTATGATTTAATGAATCCAAACCTTTCAAAAATTATATATATAGAACCTGGACCCACAAAAGAGAGAAAAATCTGGTATAGGAGCTAGGATTATGGCTCAGTGGTAGAGCACTTGCCTAGCACATGTGAGGCCCTGGGATCAATCTTTGGTACCACATAAAAATAAATAAGTAAATAAATAAAGGTATTGTGTTCATCTATAACTAGAAATATTTTTTTTAAAAAAAACCTGGTGCAGAAAAATCCATTATACAAAAATATAGTCTTGTCTTTTGGTCATATATTAGTGGCATCCTAAAGTAGCTGTTTCTTCATATGTAAGCATACTAAAAAGGAGTAGTTCTTACTACTCATTCCCAGGTATACCATGAAAACAAAACAAACAAAACACCCATTTTCCCTGAGATGGTTACTTTGAGTCTGGGGAAGAATTTTTTTGTCATACTAATTGATTATATGGTTACCATCAGCCTTCCTCTGTCTAGCTAGATAAGGAAGATATATAGTAAGTGAATATTTACCTAATAGTTGCAATAATTAAAATTAAGTACTTATTCTGTATCTTATCATTACATAGTTAATTTTTAGTGTGCTTACAAAAAAAGGTGCAAAGAGGTTTCCTATATAACATTGAAAGTTTGTAATACAGTAATATTTCCAAGAGCTTCTGACTGGTAATCTTGCTACTATAAACATTTATTACAGGAAATACATTTCTTACTATAGGTCATGGTCAAAGAGGTTGAAAAATACTGCATTAGATTAATTTTCCTATATACAGCTTTCCACATATTTTCCAGCCAGCTTTGATTCCTTGTTTAAGGATAATAATGGCTAATATGTACTAAATACTTCTTATGTGATTACATAAGTACTTACTTGTGTGCTAGGGACGATGCTAAAAAGTTTTGCATAATATCTCACAACTCTGTAAGGTAGGTACTGTTATTATTCCTTTATCACAGAGAAGCAAACTGAGACATGGAGAACTTGTATAAGTTGCTTGGAGAGTCACCCAGATAGTAGGTAGAAGAGCTAAGATTCAGTTCTTGAAATCTGGCTCCAGAGCCCATCATCTTACCAAGTAAGTTGTCTATCTCCACTTCTAAAACCCAATCCTCACTTGGAGGTTAATGACTAACCTATTTCTTTAGTCTTTACATTTCTCTCTGCTGAAGACTAGGGGCATCCTTTGGATACACAGCTCTTGCTGGACTGACCTTAGGCAAAATACTTCACTATCCCCTAAAATCATTTACTTTCAAAACACTTTTTCTATTTAACCTAGTTCCTWAAGAACGGGTGGGAGTGGAGTATGAATGGGCAATAGTTGGACATCAGCAATCTAAATCCAGCTTGCCAGTTGTTTTAGTAAATAATTTTTATTTTTTGGTGGGGTGGGGGGCACTGGGAATTGAATATAGGTCTTGTGCATGCTAGGCAAGTGCTCTACTACTGAGTTACACCCCCAGTCCTATAAATAAAATTTGACTAGAACATAACCACACACTCATTCATTTACTTACTGTCTGCTTTTGTAGTATAATAGCAGAACTGAGTAGTTGCAACAGAGACCATATGGCCCACCAAGCCTAAAATATTTACTATTGGGTCTTTTACAGAAAATGTTTAATGATCCCCGTTCTATTTCAAAGTTCCCCTTTCTCCTCTTGGCTTAATTCAAATCCTTTAGCATTATGGTTTGGATCTGAAATGTCTTCCAAAGGCTCATGTATTGAAGCCTTGGTCCACACTGCAGTAATGTCCAGAGTTGGGGCTTTGGTGAAGTGATTGGATCATGAGGACTCTGATCTTATCAATGGACTAATTCATTGATGGATTCATAATCTGATGGCATTATTGCAAACAGGTGGAAACTATAGAAGATGAGACCTTGGGGGCATGCTCTTGGGGACTATATCTTGTTTCYAGCTCCTTTCTWTCTGCCATTTCCTCCCCTATACCCTTCCATCATGATATTCTGCCTCACCTCAGTACCAAAGCAATGGAGCCAGCAGACCATGGACTGAAACTTCTGAAACCACGAATCAAATTAAACATTTTTTACTTTATGTTGATTTTCTCAGGTGTTTTATCACAGAGATGAAAAGCTAACACACCCAAACTCTTCTTATCCTGGATCAAGTCCTACCTTCCCTGAGAAATTTTCCCTGATTCCTTCAGTCCAGTGTTGTTTACACCTTRCCTTCACCATTAGCCTGCTTGTGCTGGGAGCAGGGAACTATCTTTTTCATCTCTCTATATTTCCACCATGACCACACTATGTTGCCCTGAAACAGCAGGTTAAACATATATGGTTGAAGACTGAGTAGAGAGAGGCTATGAACAGATTATCTAGTTAACCCATCAAGGAGCCCACTTCAAGGGTAAGGGTTGTAGGGTATAGGGAGGGGTACTGGTAAGCCAACAGCATAAAAAGGGGCAGGTCTTACCTTCTCCATACACTTGATAAAATCACCTTGTCGTGAGTGCCCCACTGGCTGCTTTCGAAACTCACTGCGCTTCTCTAAGCGAGACTCAAAAGCAGCTGGGTCAGACCTGATCAAAGATAAACACGATAAACCACCTGGGTTGCTCTGGATTTTGAAATAATAAAGCATTGTGTTCCATCTCAACAGAGAAAGGACACAGGAATTCAGAGAGGCTGAAGTATTTGTCTGGACTGGGCACAGGCCTGAAAGTCAAGAAAGTAGAAAAACAAATCCAGCCACGTAACTATTATTAATCCTTAAGGGGCTAACAAAACATTTTTTTTTTCTCCTGCAGGCTACTTCCCAGGCAAATACAGGGATTGGTCTCTCAGATATTGACACTCTAGTGACAAAGAATCCTCAGGATGGAAAGTGTATTTTGAGATCATTTTACTGGGTCATCTCCCCAGGAAGGAATTCTATAGCATATCTATGTAGTGTTCAAGCTTTTATTGAACATATTTAGTTCTTTGGTATCTCCTCAGGTTAAACATCAGTTTTATTCAGATCTGGGTAACTCAAAGAACTCAACTATCCTATTTTGCAGAAGATTTAGCATCTGAGGGTTTCCCTGACCTGTTTTCCAAAGAACCTGCATATAGAATATGAGAAATTGTCTTTTATGTTAAAATGGGCCTGAGCTTCAGGCTTGAAGTCTAGTTTTGGGCTGCCATCCTTGTTAAGAATTCTTCAGGCTGTGGGTCTGACAGTGGGATATTTGGCAAAGACATTATCCAGGGACTCTCTAGCTCCTTGATTGTAAGGATTGTAGTGTTATGGGTGAGATCTATAGGAACCAGGGACATCTTGGCTACCCCTCTGGTAGACCTTCCCAGTCAAGGTATTATACGGAGCCCCTCTCCCATAAAATTCATTTCTGGAGGTGAGATCAAATATCACTCCCTTCATTGACATGTAGATATGCATATCTTCTTCCTTCCCTCTGGAAGGACTGTGTCAGTCCTACTAATGGCCACAGACACCTGGGTCATGGTAAGCCCATAGAGAGGAGAGGCATCCTGGGCAATAGAGGGCTTGCTGGGCCTTAGGGATAGAGAAATAAATAAGACAGAGTCCCTACCTCAAGGAGCTTACTATCCAGTGGGAGAGACAGACATGTAAATAAGTATATAAGAATGCTACAGGTATTGTCATGAAAATTTGTTCAAATATCCCCGAATGACTGAGGTGGTTTCATGCTCTATACTTTTGATTATGTTAGTCTTCCCCTTATCTGGAATTTCTCATTTCTCTCTTCCAATTGTATGCATGAGTGCTAGACCATAGTACTCAAAGGAATTTTAGGTAATAAATAAGGCTAAAGAGAACAACAGATATTAGGGTGTGAAGTCAATGTGGCACCTTGGAAAGCTTGCTCTTCAGGAAATAACAGTCTGTGTAAATGTTGATGGAATGATCTGGTAGGGAAGAAGAGCAAAACCATTATTTGTTCATGAGTTCAGAATGAGTGGAAGCTGTGGGCTGGGGTTGTATCTCAGTGTCAGAGTGCTTGCCTAGCATGTGTGAGGCACTGGGTTCAATTCTTAGCACCGCATACAAATGAATAAAACAAAGGTCCATCGACAACTAAAAAAACAAACTTAAAAAAAAAAGAATGAATGGGAGATGTTAGGCTTGTATCATCTGAATGTGAGTGGACAACTTTTCAGATGCTTGTGCATTAARGGATAAAAGAAAAAATTGGAGAGGAATGTAGGTCAGGGAAAAGTTTCTGAAATAACAAATACTTGAAAATATCTAAATGACAGAGGGCAAAATGACTCCATTCATTTATTCCAYTGTTGTTTCAAAAAGTGAGAAAGATTAAGATAATAGCAGTGAGATTGAAACAGACCCCCTTTGAAATTAAAAGCAACTTCCTGATCATTGCTTTTCTGCATCCTGAATCTACTCATGCTTGAGGGCAGAGGCCAAGGAAGACTGACATACACTCTGGCTAAGCACAGATTAATCTWCATATTATACCACCAGGCTTTTGTTTCTACAAATGCAACTGCTTCTGTGGAACCAGTGGGAAAGCAATCTAGCTACTTTTCCCCCGGTTTAAACAAACTACATTAAATTTCTTTTTCTATTGTTTGCCTATTTCCTACGCAGGCAGGTGGTGAAATGCAGGTAGCTGGGATCCAGGCAGGCTTCCTGGCTTGGCTGCCAATAAAGATGGACTGGGTTGGAAACTACTCTGCCAAAGTCTCTCCTAAGTCTTTCCACCTTTGGTCTCTTTCAGCTGGCTCTTTCTTTCAAATTCTTCAGGCTCTTCCGTGCTCCCTAGCTTCCCAAACCCCTTCTAATCTCTAGGTCCTTCCCTATAAAAGCTCAGGGGTAGTATTGGGAACACTGGGTTCAGTCAAATTCCAACCAGCTGGGTAGCCTTTGGCAAGTTTCTTCCTCTCTCTGGTCTTCAGTTTCCTTAACATAATGAGAGTTTGACAGATGAAACAACTGTGACAAAACTGGTCTTTGTGGCACTTCTCCCTACCATAACCTCCTTGCCATGCAGTTAGGGCCCTAAATGAGGAGCCTGGGAATCCAAGCTTTGGGCCAGGCCTCTGCTGACTCAATATGTGACCTTGAGCAAATAAAGTCCCTTCTCTGGAAGGCTTCATTTTCCCATTTCTACAATGAAAATAGATCTCTCTCATCTGACTCACAGGGTTGTGACAACTAAAACATAAAGACAACTGTGGAAAGAGCCAGGGCTTTTCAGAAACTAAATAGCCCTGAGATCTTAGAGTGCTCTAGTCTCTCCGACCCTCGATACACTATCTTCACAGTGGGGACTGCACTAGTGCCCACTACGCGGAATCTCCGGCCACCGCCAAGTACCAGCACCCCCCCCCCCCCCCNCCCCCCCCCCCCCCCCCGCTAGCCGGCCGGGGCGCACCTGCGCAGCTGCTGAATCTTGTCTCGGTAGCGGTCGTAGAAGGGGTTGGCCTCGAGCTCGGCCCCGACCCCACTGCCCTCCGCGCCCCCAGAAGGCCGGCCTGAGCCGAGGCGCATAGGGAAAGCGCGCAGCTGGGCGGGTGAAACGAACCCAAGGCTCAGGGCGCGGCTCCGCACCGTGCACAGGCCTCGGTAGAGCCCGGCCACCTGCAGGACAGCTGGGCCCGCGCCACCAGCAGCCATCACCATAGCCGCCATGGCCGACCCCGTCTCCTCCTCTTCAGGAGAGTCGGCCCCCGGCCCGCGCGTCCCCTCCATCGTCCTCCGGGTCTGCGGCGCTTGCGCTACACCAAGGTGGTTCCGCGCGCCCCAGGTTCCGGGTTCAGGAGATACGCTAGGCGAAACGGGGAAGAGGGTAAAGAGTTGGGGACCGGGGGCTCGCCGCTCCAGCCCTGCCGGTCCGCCCTGCGTGTGCCTCGGCCCGCCTCCTCCCGGGAGCCGACCGGACTCACTCCCTCCCTTTCGAGACCAGCAGTCTCTGCGCGCCAGTCCTCCTCTGGGGAGCTGGTGGAGCCTTAGGGTCCTCACGGAGCTTGCTCCTTTTAAAATTCACTTGGCACTCCTTTAGCAAGCTTCAAAGGTTGTTTCTCCAATCCTCTTCACAGCTGCTGCTTCTCTTTACTAAGGCCTCTAGGTGTAGTAAACTTTATSCGATTCATATCCTTTGAGGCAGGCATTATTTTCATTTTACAGACGAGGAAACTGAGGCTGAGGGTCTAATATTAACTTCTCCATGTTTTGCCCGAGAGATGGCCTTTTCAATATGGCAGCTGCTTCCAAAGCCTTGTTTCCTAATTGCAGCGCCAGCCAAACTGAACTACTTCCCAGAGTCATCAGGAATTGACTTTGAAAAGTCTTTAGGCTCATTTTGGATCCTGGAATGCATTCTTCCTCAACCCAGATGCCACTATCTTTTTCACCTCTGGAACCAAGTGTAAACTCTTGAAGTCAGGGACAGTTACAGCCAAATCTGTCTCACTTGCTCCCAGCATGAATGGACTCTCTGTCAAGCAGTCTTTGGTTTGCATTGTGTGGAAGTCTTGCCTAGGTCTTATCTGACTGAAACCTCTTCTGAGGCAGGGATGGAGCCTCAAACTCTGCTCAGTTGAACCTATATGTATGAAGATCCGCCCTGCTCTATGCTAGGAGCAATGTAGTAGAGGATTAGTATGGCGTGTTCCTGGCTCAGGATCATTGCACTTGTTCTCTCTGTATAGATCCACACTTGCTGCCTCATTATCATCTAGGGCTTAGTTTCCATGTCAGCACCTCAAAGGAACCTTTATTGATGAATCTTCTCTTCTTCTTTTTTTTTTTTAACCTTATTTTGCCCTCTTATTTTACCCTACTTTATTCTCTTCATAGCAGTTATCACCATCTGAAATTCTTAGATTCTTGTTTACATTAACTTGAGGTGCTTACATTCCAGTGGAGTGAGACAGACAATAAATAAATGTTAGGTAATGATACATGCTATGTTGAAAAACAAAGCAGTTTAAGAGAAATGGAGATAAGGGGAACACCAAAGCAGAAACCCAAAGGAAACGAGGGAATGATCTGTATGGATATCTGACAGAACAGCTTTCCAGGAAGGGGGAATAGCAAGGGCAAATACCCTGAAGCAGGAGCATATGTACCCTGCTTGTGGAACAACAAGGAGGTTTTCTATGTGAATGAGTGAAGGGGACAGCAGTAAAAATGAGTCTAAGGAGGTATGGGAGTGGTTGGTTAGATTGCTCAGGGATTTGGAGGAGTTGATCAAGGATTGTGGTTTTAAATCTGAGTGAGATGGGAATTCACTGTGTATTTGAGCAGAGTAACATGATCTATTCTTAAAAGGATCATTCTGGCTACTGTTAAAGTTGGAAGTAACTAAATGGTGCCAAGGAGTTGAGCCAGGACAACCTATTGGGAAGCTGACCTAGGCTTGATTAGGAAATGGCTTTCTAACTGAGCTGGTCATAAATGAAGCAAGCTGCCTCAGGAGATGGTAAGCAAGTTCCTGAGTCAAATGAACTCTGGGGGATTAGTTGCTGAGTTAGGGAAGTTCTGACCTCAGTACTCGAGTATCTGATGGAAGTTGGATTAGACAATGCTCCAAGTCTCTTCGAACTGGAGATGATGTGGTTTTGGGAAATCAAACTGAAAGGACTATTTGCCTCTAGAGTAGGGGAGTTGACTACCTGGGAGGATAAGGAGATGTTTAGTGGAAATGTGGGAAATGACACTCCTGAGTGAAGGAGCCACGTGAGCTAAACTCCCAAGGTAAATAAACAGGGTCTTTGAGGAACCTGGCATGACTGGAAGGGAGAGGTATACGAAAGATGGAGAGGGAGATGAAGCTGGAAAGAGATGCAAGATCACATGGGCAGAGCTCCCACAGGCCCTGATGATGCCCAGGAAATACTTTGCCAGCACTTGTTAGAGAAACAAAAGAGATACAAGAGCCAAACAATGAGGTTTGGACCACTTGGTTCCCCTGAGCAGTGTTTTTTTTCCTTTGACAACTTGGTCAGAAACTTCTTAAGGGCAGGGCTGCCCAATGTTCATTGTGCTATCTGCCCCACTCACCACTGGAAAAGATATCCAGAAATGGCTCCCTAATAACTGACAACATAAATATAAGCTCCTGAGGGTGTGAGGGCCCTTTCCTGGGGGGCTGTTCTGTGAGTTCACCATAAGAAGTTGGGAACAGATAATTCTGTGGTGGACCAGTCTTTGATGGAAGACAACTATGCTCATGAGATGCCATCATATGGAGTCCCTTCCTCCCATCAGCTCAGAATCCTTCCACAAGCACCACCCCTGGAATTCCCAGTGTTCAGAACCTGGTGATGACTTCTTTAGGGAACAGTGGGGCTTGAGCCTTCTGAGATTCCTATTGGTGGACAGGTTAGTGGGTGAGTTCATTCTTTCCAGAGCCATAGGCCTGGTAACAAGACTCAACCTTATGGATTCTGAAAAGAAGGATATGGGCCTTCCTGGCAGTAAGTACTCCTTCAGTCCTTTGAGTGTGGGGGACAAACTTTCCCTTTGCATGAATGGAGTGGTGGATGCCTCCATGGAGTGCTAAATAGTAAGAGATAGACTCCTCTAGGAAAGTAAGGATTCCTAGAAGGCAGAGACCATGTTCTGCCCAACCAGAAAAGATACATTGGTGTCCTTGTCAAGTGGTGAACTTTTACTTCCACGAGGGCCTTGTCCTTAGTGAGGGTTCTCAATCTGATGGATTGGTTGGGTCCTGGATTGGGAGCCAGAAGGCCTGACTGAGTCCGTGAAGGTCATGTCCCCTCTAGACCTAGTGTTCCTTATCTGTAAAAGGCTAAAGTGGCCTCTTAGACTCCCTGCAAATCTAGCTTTGACTGAATTAAGAAAATGATGAGGCATATCTTTGAGGAGGGAGGGAAGGAATAAATGGATGAATGAACCAAATCAAGGCGAGGAATGAGAAACAGTTCAGGTCCCAAGCTAGAGCAGTGTCACCCTGCCCCCCTGCCCTTTTTTAACTGTCTCAGTGGGGGTCGCGTTGTACTTTGGATTTCTGGGGCTGTGCTCTATTATAACTAGCAGCTGCATTCTCTTTCTGCACTGGAAGAAGAACCTCCAGTAGGAGGAGCGTGCCCAGCAGTGGGCACTTACAGCTCACTCCTGTACTGGATAAACAAGCGATGCCAATATGGCATGAATGCAGCTATCCACAAAGGCCCTCCCTGGGCTGTTACCAAAACTGAGATTAAAGTTGAGATTCCAGATTCTTTGTGGGGGTCAGACACCCCTGAAGTCAGGCATTATGCCAACAGAGGCAGCAGATGCTGAGAGCCATTGCCAAGTAGGAATGACGCATGGCAATTTCTTTGTCAGCCTACTCCATGTTGCTTAGAGGAAGGACTCTCCATTGTGGAAATGGGCTTGCCTTTGGACCCAGGTCATTTGCAGTGACATT